CGTCACTTCAGTTCAAACGGGCTTGGATGGGATTGTTAATTTCATCACATTGTCAGGATTATGACTTTCGATTCAATCTGGGAATGCCTGGGATTACAAGTGTCTCAGGGTATTAGGCCTCCAGGCCATTTATCATGAGCTGGGACTGCATCATATTCTTCTCAATTCGGCTGACGGGGTTAAGAGGGGTTTCTTCTCACTCTTTTGCCCAGGGCCCCGAAGTTTCAAGTTTCAAGTTTCAAGTTTCAAGTTTCTTCTTGGGGTAGTTGGGCGATCAGTTTGCTTCTTCACTTCAGTACAAATGGGTTTGGCCTGGGATTGTTAATCTCACTTCGCTGGCCAGGACGATGACTGCCGTCCGCCCCCTGATAAAGTGCATCTCTTTTCTCTATCTCTCCATCTTTTGAATCCACATCTTTCGGTTGTCCTGGTGTCCTGGTTGCTTCCTGTAGTCATTTTGGTTCAATTCGCTTTGCCCGTTCTGCTCCAACCCCTTCTCAAGTTATCTGGGAACACACTCTCATGCTCGCCCCTCAGAGGGTCGTCAGGCCATGGAATTCAAAGTCTCTCCAGTGCTGTATCTTCGAGGCGTGGGCATCCGTCTGCCCACGTGCACTGGCAATCGAAAGTTCCGAGATCGTTCCTGTAAATTCAGGATCATACAACCCACGGAAATGCGTCACACTCCATATGTATGAGAAGGGGCGCGAATTCGAGATACCCCTCAGGCAGCTATGGAATCTCTTTGAGGAATTTTTCTCAAGCAAGGCATGCAAGGACCTTATTGGGATCGTGGGAATTGCAGTACGCTCTATGTCTTTTGTACAGATTAAGACAATGTCATACAAGGGCGCAGTATTCTACGACAACCGCTGGTCAGATCCTGGGAATTTCATCTACACTGTCTGGTGGAATATTTGGGGTCAAATGGCCAGGTATCTTCAAAGACGACAACCTACCAGTGCCTCGTCCAAGTCCATGGAGGAGCTTCGCTCAGTTGCTGGTCGTGTCACCGATGCACAGAGGATGGTCCGAGAGCGGTGGAACAGGGAACCCGACACTTCTCGATGGCTAGAGCTTATTGGAGATTTGATGGAGTTAGGGTTGGGAGCGGGGTATGTTGAACCAGATCAGTTCTGGAACATTATTCAGGGGATTTCTCCTATCATCTGCTCCATTCGGTCTATTTTGACGTTTGCTGATCAACATGGGTCTTTTGCTAGGACCGGGAAAGACCGTCGCCTTTTTCGCGGCCCATGTGCACCTCACACTCGGAAGTTTGCCGTGGCAATGTTTCACGGAATGCACGTGCACAAATTTAATGTCACGGAATCTTCAGAGGTCTGGGTATCTTACCTAATTGCGGCCTCAGAGAACAGGCTCCAATACTAATGGAGCGGGGTATTTGACGCCCCACGGAATTTCGAGACCTATTTGTGTCCTCCTCTCCTCTTTGCCTCCCACCTAGGGGATTGGCTGACACCAGGAGATGCCACTTGTGCGATTCTATCTGGGACCCGCCTGGTCCATGCGATCTTAGGGACACCGTGGCTTCGCAACAATCCCTCCTTCCTCAGGATGCCTCCGTGTTCTGGGACTCGAGTCTGTTCTTCTCTCTTGGGGTTTAGGGGGGTGACCCCTCCCCTCCCCTTGCCTCCTGTCGGCTCCTGCAGTCTCGGGCTCAAGCTTTCGGTATGCTACTTCCCAAGGCATCGGACCCTCACGTTATCTTTCAGGGGAAGCTTTGCAGGTCTGAACGCAAAGTCTGCTTCCTGTCTAAACAAGATCTTGAGGCACTCTCATACTGCTCTACGCTGCTATTCCAAAGGGTGGTCAAGTTGCCGGCTAGGTTTCTTGTACCATCGGACCTTGGTGGTCCTCATTTCACTTATGACTGGTGCAAAATCCCGCTTTTCAAAGCTTGTCGGGACAGCGGCTTTAAGGGTCTGTATGTCAACGTTCGGGGTCCCGACGAAAGGGTTCGGAGAGTTCCTTGGAAAGAACTGGCTGCTGGTCAGTAGCCGTTTCGCCTCAAATGCTGACGGGAACTCTCGTCCGAGACGGCTGGGGAACATCCACATCCATATCCAATTCCAGGGGATGGCCAAACGCAGCCTTCCAGTCAAGCTAGCCGCCAAGAAGCGTCTCAAGTGGACACACGGCTCAGGAGGAATGTGGAACTACTGTGAAGAGGAAAAAGTCTACACCAAAGTCTGGTATACGGAGTACTATGACACGTGGTTCGACCCAGAATCGGGCTGGCCTCACCCAGTGGTATGGTACCTATCTGACTACTGGTGGGACGGAGACTTCTTTGTGGAAAAGTGGCGCTGGAAGTACCCGTGAATGCAATTCCTGGGACTCCGACAGACTGAATCCCCTGGCGTCTGCGGTGCATGGGCCTGCGGCTTTTGGAGGACTCTCAGCATCCCTCAATCTCCTATGCATGTTCTTCAACGTTGTTGGTTGGCAAAATACAAAAGGTTATAAACATGTCCATCTTGCGCCCTCCATACTTGTTTGAATTCAACCTTACTCCATTGGTCTTGATACGCCTGGGGTGGGTTGTCACGGTTGAGTTCTCACTCGGCTTTGACATTCCATTTTGTATGCCTCCGTATCTTCTGGGTTCATTGCGTGCTTGGGACATTCAGTTTCTATTTTTGACTTTCGTTCAGTACATATATCCGTCTTGGTTGCTACTTATGTTCAATGGGTTTCATGGGACTCAATGAAAGATTTCTTCACTTCTTGCTTACTTCAGACCTTGGGACCATATGCCCCCAAGATTGGCTTCAAGAGCTACTCAAGCCACTCAAGATTGTTGATCAATTTGAGCATACTCCTTTATCTTGCATTACGTTTCTCATTTTTCTCTTCTTCATTCAAAGCAAGAGAGACCTTGTGGTTGGATTCATTTGGGACATCGGACAATCTATCATTCATGATTTCTTCCAGTATCATGGGTTTCAATCCTGGGCTGGGCTTCACCTTTCTTCTGCTTCACCTTTCTCCCGCCTCTCCTCCCGCCTCCCTCTTTCTCTACCGTACGCATTTGGCGTATTGGTGGCTTCTCAGGTTTGTGTTTTGGGAGAACCGACCTTTCAAGGCGCGTCATCATCATCATCATCCTCCTCCTCCTCCCCTTCTCCTCCTCCTCCTCCTCCACCTCCTCCTCCTCATCCAGTACCTCCCTCCTCCTCCTCCTCCTCCTCCTCCTCCTCCTCCACCTCCCCTCCTCCTCCTCCTCCTCCCCCCTCCTTTCTCCGTCTTCCGCCTCCTCCCACCCCTCCTGGCCCCCTCCTCCTCCTCCTCCACTCCTCCTCCTCCTCCTCCTCCTCCGTCCCTACAGACATATCCTTCATTCATTGTTTCTCAATGTCCTATCCCTCAAGCTTTCCTCCTCTGGGAGGCCTCTGCCGGGTTCCCCCCTTCCCCCCCCTTCCTCCCGGCACCGGCCTGCGCGCCCGGAGGACGGCGCCCCCCACCCCTGGCCCCATGGCGTCTCCCCCGCATGCTCATGCCGTGAGCGGCCTACAGAAGGGCCGGAGGTTGATAGACCTCCTGCCCTTGTGGAGGACGATCAATGTATTTTGGGGCGGAAAAGAGGGGGGTGATGACTAGGGGGGGTGGATTTCATGGCGAGGGCCATGATATTTCCCCAGATTTCATGGCGCCTCTTCTTATTTCATTACGTCCCTGGCCCCCCCGCTGGGCCGCGCACGTGCCGCTGGTCATGATTTGCACCCCCCCCTCTTGCACACCCCCCTCTTGGCCGCTCCCGATGTATATAAACCAGGATGTATACACCAGGATATAAGGGGCGCCTGGTGCCCCGGGTCGCCATGGGTGCCCGGGCCTCTGGGAGACGGGCGCCTGGTGCCCCGCGTCGCCACGGGTGCCCCCGGGCCTCCGGGAACCGTCCTGGAGGCGCCCAGGGCCGCCCCCGCTCACCAGCGAAGCAGCCCAGAGCACCCGCGAGAGCCCCTGCGTACTTCGCCTGCAGGCGCCCAGAACTCGTAGGAGGGTCGGAGGTTCATAGACCGTCTGCCCTTGTGGAGCATGATCAATGGAGAGGAAGCATGGTGCCGAATACTTTCCAGATGTCTAAAGCATATGTCGGACATGTTCCCAACCATGTACACACATGCCTAACACATGTTTAGGACATGTTTCCGGCATCTTAAACACACTTCGCATTCAAGGATAGGACTGTTAGGGTGTCCATTGTCGTGGCATCCACAATCCTACCTTGACACGTCGATTAGCGAATCGGCCGTTTTCGGTTCGCGAGGGGGCCTCGCGGCCGTCACTTTTGCGGGTCCAGGTCCGTCGGTTTCGGTCCTAGGTCGTTTTCACTAAAGGGAGGTGTACTAAAGGGAGAAAGGAGCACTTACTTTTCAAAAGGGGCTCGGTCGTTCCTTGGGTTGGCATGCGTTATTTATCGTTCCTTATGCGCTATTTGGTATTTATCGTTCCTTGTGTGTTAGTCCTTGGACAAAAATGGGCTTCGTTCACGATTCATCGTTCCTTAGGTCAGGCCGATGACTGTAGCATGTGCTCCCTGGCGGGTTCTCTCTGGCCGTGCCGCTTGGGACACGATAGGCTGCGAGGTGGTCGTACTAGATGTTCGGGTCGGACGCACGCCTCCGAGAAAAACACACCATACTCTATTCGGCGGCGAGCGCGGGGGGGGCAGCGAAAAGTAGAAGGCCTTCGCAGAAGGCGGCGGGACTTATCAGAAACCCTCGCGCCTTCTTAGACGTTCTCTGTGCCTTCGGGGAAGGCTTCGAACACTGCTCAGAAGGCTGGGGGACTTCCGAGCCTTCTGAGCAGGCCCGCCCCCTCTCCTACTTCCCCCCCCCGGGCGCGCCGCCAAAGTACGTCGTTGTGCGTCCCATGCACCGCGGCCCCCAGAGGCTGCGCACCAGAGTCAGGAGGGGAACAAAGCACACAGACACCATTAATCCTCGACTCCCCGAGAAGATATGGGAAAATATGGGAAATGGGGGGGAAGACAGAAACCCAGAGAACATGGGAAAATACAGGGGAATCTTTTTATTTGTGTGTATTTATTCGTGTGTCCTGGGGCCCCTCCACCAGAGGTCACTCCTGCCCAGGGCCACTCCTGCGCGTGGCCGAGGAGGCCCACGCGGCGGCCAGGCAGGAGTGCCTGGCGCTGTGGCAGAAGGCACCGCGGCCGCGCAGCCAGGGTTTCCCGAGCATTTTCTTTGGGTGGAGGGCAAAGGGTGAAATCTGAAATGCCGTTTCGATTGATTTTCAAGGTTTGAATCTGGAAAAGGTTGATCACAAGACGGATTTATTTTCGGGGTGCAAAAGCCCGTATGGATTTCACCCTGAGCCCTCCACCCTAAGAAAATGCTAAAGTTTCGGACCGCGCAACCGGCCCGGCGCGCGCCGTCGTTGGTCGTTGGTCGTTGGTCGTCGTCGTCGTCGTCGTCGTCGTCGTCGTCCGCGGGCCATCCCGGCCAGTCCCTCGCAGAGGGCTCCTGGGTATCCGCAGCACCGCCGTGTCCGGCTGGTGCCATCCTGGGCCCCGGCGCTGTGTGGTGCGCCCTCCCGGCAGGGGTCTGCACGCCGTCCTGTTGGGCCCAGGGTGGCCCTGGCAGAGGGATGGCCCTGGCTTATGATGTTCCAACCTACCTTTAGCTTTGACCACCAGGAAGAACTTCGAGCACCAGGAGAGCACCGAAGCTTGAGGGTTTTCACGTGTCGGGCCCTGGGAGGCGATGCTAGGATTTCTGGGATGTGGTCCTCAAGTACGATGGGAACAGCATAAACCTGGCACCGTGCGATTCGCCCTCCTGGCAGGGGTCTGCGCGCCGTCCTGCTGGGCCCAGGGTGGCCCTGGCAGAGGGGATGGCCCTGGCACGGGCCCCTGCCAATAGACTGTATACTCCGAGTTTCTTACTAAGCGTCGGGGGGGCGGCAAGAAACCAAGCTCTTTTCGCGAACATTCTCCTACCGGGCGGTATCTAGCCAGCGTGCCTCCACCTCCCTCCTACGCCGCCTGCGCCCCTCCTCATCCTCATGCTGCTTGTCCAACGCGTGCCCCCCTCAACTTCGCGATGATTTCTCTCTAAGCCTCCTGGATGGGGTCGGAGTAGATGGGGTCGGAGGATCACGCTGCATCGCCGATGCATCGCCGATGCGGTTCGATGCGGATCCTGATTTGCGTCGCGCCGACGTCGCCGATGCACCGCCGGCGTCTTTGATGCATCGCTGATGCATCGCCGATGTTTCGCCGATGTATCGGCGATGCGGCGAGATGCTCCGACCCATCTACTCGGGCCCATCCAGGAGGTTTCTGTTCTCCGCCGCCGCAGTCCCCCCTGCGCGTTACAGCGCTGGTCGCCGCGTCGTCGTCGTCGTCGTCGTCGTCGTCGTTGTTTTCAATCCGCGGCCCCAGAGGTCCCGCCCTCTCCCTGGGAGTATTTTTTCGCCCTGAAGCCCCTTTCGATGGCCTCGGGCCCGACGACGGGCCCCGCGTGCCGAAATCCAGGAAAAAACGCCAGATTGAAAAAAACACATCCTCGGATCTCTGGGTCGTCGCGGTCGTCTCCCCGGGAGTGGTTTTTCACCCTGGAGCCTTTTTCGATGGCCCCTGGGCCCGACGACGGGCCTCGAAGTCCAAAACTCAAAAGGAGAAAAACGAATGGAAAAACACACATCCTCGGATCTCTGGGTCGTCGTGTCCTCCTCCTCCGCCTCCTCCTCCTGCTCCTCCTCCTCCTCCTGCTCCTCCTCCTCCTTCCCCTCCTCCTCCTTTTTCTTCTCCTCGTAGTCGTCTTCCTCCTCCTCCTCTTCTTCCTCCTCCTCCTCTTCCTCCCCCTCCTCCTCCTCCTCCTCCCTCCTCCTCCTCCCCCTCCTCCTCCCCCTCCTACCCTTCTCCTCCTCCTCCTTTCCTCCTCCCCCTCCTCTTCCTCTTCTCCTCCTCCTCTTCTTCCTCCTCCACTCCTCCTCCTCCTCTATCTCCTCCTCCTCCTCCTCTCTCCTCCTCCTCCTCCTCCTGCCTCCTCCTCCTCCTCCTCCTCTGCCTTTCTCCTTTCCTCCTCCTCCATCCTCCTCCTCCTCCCCCTCCTTCACCTCCTCCTCCTCCTCCTCTTCCCCCCCCTCGCCCACCCCGTCCCCCTCCTTTTTCTCCTTCTCGTCGTCGTCGTCTTCGTCGTCGTCCATTGTCGTCCGCTGCCGTCCGTCGTCCGTCCGTCCGTCCGTCGTCGTCCGTCGTCGTCGTCGTCCGTGATCGTCGTCGTCCGCCGTCGTCGTCGTCCGCCATCTTCGTCGTCCGTCGTCGTCGTCGTCCACCGTCGTCGTCGTCCGTCGTTGTCCGTTGTCGTCGTCGTCGTCGTCGTCCGTCGTCGCCCGTTCGTCGTCGTCGTCGCCCGTCGTCGTCGTCGTCGTCGTCCGTCGTTGTCGTCGTCCATCATTGTCGTCGTCGTCGCCCCTCTTCGAATTCGTCGTCGTCGTTGTCGTCTTCGTCGTCGTCGTCATCCGACGTCGTCGTCCGTCGTCGTCGTCCGTCGTCGTCGTCGGTCGTCGTCGTCGTTGTCGTCGTCGCCCGTTGTCGTCGTCGTCGTCGTCGTCCGTCGTCGTCGTCGTCGTCGTCGTCGTCGTCGTCGCCGTCCGGCATCATTGTCGTCGTCCGCGGTCGTGGCCGTCTGTAATCATCGGTGTCCGTCTGTTTTCATCGGTATCCGTCGTCGTTGTCGGTGTCCGTCGCGTCGTTCGCCCCTGGTCGTGGTCGTCCGTGGTCGTCGGTGTCCGTCGTCGTCGTCGTCGTCGGTGTTCGTCGTCGTCGACGTCGTCGTCGTCGTCTTCTCCTCCTCGTCCTCCTCCTTTTCCCTTTCTTCCTCTTTCTCCTCCCTCTCTTTTTTTCCCCTGGCTGACATGTTTTTGCCCACGGCCGTCGAGGGTCGAGGCAGGGCGCTTTTGGGCGTTTTCGGTGAACTTTGGCCGCCGTCGGCTTCCAGGAACCCAGGGGCCTACTGGGGCTGAGCGGGGGACACTGCATGGCTAGCCCCGATATTGCCCTGGCGCGGCTCCCATGCCGCGCCGTCACGCACAACGAGTTTGGAGAATTTGTCGCCCCCTGGCTCCCAGCAGCTCCCTCTAAACAGCGGCCAGCACTGTTGGCCCAGCCATTCGGCGGGAGACGATCTACGGAGACTTTGTGAGCGTCCCATTAAGGGACACCAAGGCAGAAGGTGCTCCCGTTTTGTGGATGAACATCTGGGCCCTTCGCCACGCACACCTCCCCGTGGCAGAGCCACTGGGGATGGTTGGGGCGCGATATATGCCATGCCTGTTGTCAAAGGCCTATCCTGCACGCCGGTGCATGTTGCTGAGGAGGCTCTCACCGAATCAGCCAGAGCCAACTATCTTCAGTCTTCCCCTCAGCAGGCAGTGGCCTGGCGAAAAGCTGCACCGTCGTGGACGCGCCCATGCGATTTCGATGCATGGCTCGCGAAGGATGGCCTTGAAGGCGGTGCTGACTTGACTGAAAAGCAGCCCCCTCAGCCAGACGCAGAGACCGAGGCCAACCGGCACGACCCAGTCGTTGCTGGGGAAAGGCCAAATCTGCTTGGAGATCCCGAACAGCGACGCCTTGAGGCGCCCTCAGAGGGCCCTCCTGACTACAGAGAGGAGGGCCCCGACCGGGCGCCCAAAAGGCCACGCTTGGGAGTGAGGATGTCGACTGGCCCAGTCGGTTCGGCAAGCCGCCATGCGAACGTTAACATCACGCAGCCTTCGGCCGGATCTGGCCCGCAAAAGCCATTTGACATTCCTGGAGCTGGTCGGCGGGCGGCTGGCGGGTCATCCGCTGGGTCGGCCTCGAATCCGACTGCCCCGCCCGGCCAAGCCGGTGACGGGGCGGGCGGAGGCCCCCCCCCCGGCCCAGCCGGTGGTGGAGGTGCTCCGTCTGGCCCAGGTGGCTCTCCCACGGGAAACGCCCCGTCTTCCGGCAACCCCTCTGGGGGCGGCGGCGGAGGTGGCCCCCCAGATGCGGGGTCGACGATGGCGGGGCCCCTGGAACGTCCTCGACTATCATTGGGCGCAGGGAGAGTATGCTCCGAACCCCAAGCCACGGACGAACGACTGGGAATCTAAGGTGAATGAGATTCTTCGGCTTTATGTTGATATTGCAGATCCCCAGTTGAAAGCCTGGGCACTAAAGTTGTCGGCCCTTCAGAAGTGCCAGGCCACAACTCAGATTGCCCGCCAGAATGGACACTCATGGGTTCCATTTGTATGCGAGGGCGTTGCGGCCATGATGGCCACAGGCAAGTCTGTTATAAGGACTTTTTCCACCCTTTGTGCTTGGCGGATCACGGGCAATACAAGTTTTTGTCTTGTTCCGTCCACATTGTCTCTGATTCCACGATCTCGTTTCGGAATGCGTCCAAGAAAGTCACGAACAGCCTTCTCCCCCAATTCCACATGCAGGATCACGTGCGCGGCATTTCCCATAAAATTATGAGTGGATGCATGGCCCCCGAACTTCAGGAAGTGGCCAAGAAACGCAAATAGGACGAGCAGAAGTACTACCAGAAAGGGATCCACACGCCGGTGCGTTTCATCCTCTGGAACTTCAATGATATTGTTGATGGAACCGGCGAGTTGAAACGAGTTGGCACAGGGGGAAAGCGGCAAGAAAATCCAACGCTATTCGTTGGAACCCTCCGAATACTGGTAGAGGCGGCAGAGCGTCTGGTGGGCGACGCAATCACTCGCGCAAAGGATGGAGCGATAGAGATAATGCACGTTGGCGGGGGCCACAAATGCTGGCGGTCGGACGGAACCTGCGTGCGCCAGATGTGGGGTGATGTCGCCGCTCTCGTCCGGGCTCGAATGAACCGTCGGATTGAAAGCTGCAAAGCTGTGGGGATCTTTCCGCACATCATGATTCTTGACGGCGCGGGCCTGCATCGCGAAGTGCGGCGCCCCCCCGGGGGATTTCCACGACTTTTGGTTTGGCCATGATGACTATTAGATGGGCGAGGGCGGACAAATGGTGAGCGCGAAAGCGGCCGAGTTGTGTGCTGAGCACATGTTTAAGGCCGCTAAACTCGCCGCGCTATTTTTTGGCAACCCTCCGGCGGCCCAGCCGTTCAGGGGGGTGGCACATCAAAGAAGACAAGAGCCGATGGGTATGCATTTGAAGAGGCAACC